TGATTGTGAGTGGGATGGGGACATTAAAGTGTGAGAAATCAGCATCCCATTCCCCATTTCTAGCTTGAATTAAAATTTCAAATAATATAGACCTATTCTACTTAATCTCTTCATGGGACAGTCCTCCCAACAGCAAGAAATGTAATTTATTTTACCTTTTTTTTAAGAAAAGGCAACAAGGCAGGAATGGGGGGTAAAGATCATTGGCTTGCTCAGGGACATAATTTGATATAACTAAAACCTATCCACTTCAGTAAAGGAAGAAAATGACACTAGACTATCTGCAACACTAATTGCATAGCGTAGTAAAACTTTGGTACTGAATGAGATCCTTTGGTACTTTAGCAAATTCTATTCAAAGCTAATCACAAGAACACAACTAAGAATGACCCATTGAGCCTGTTGTGCCATTCAATACAATTGTAATGGATTTTGAGCTGAAATTCTACTTTAGCACCTGCTCCCCAGATCCTTCAACCCCTTGAAGGACCAAAAGTCTGACTTAACCCTTTTTTTTTGAAAGCATATTCAGCAATGATGTGTCCAGAACACCCCAAGATAGAGAATTCCAAAGATCTGCAATCCTCCAAGTTAAATCATTTTTCCTCATCTCAGTCCTAACTAATCCTGAGATTACTTGTGCTTTTGTTTTCAATGAACAGGAAATCTGTTTCTGTATCTATTCAATGACATTGAATCAGAATCCTGTATGTTTCAATAGGATCACCTCGCATTCTTCTAAACTCCAGAGGGTATTGATCCAATTTACTCAGGCTTTCATCAAGGGATAACTTCTTCCCATGGACTAATTTGTTGTATTGCCTCCCATGCAGGAAACCAGTCACTGGAGGTAATATTACTGGTAATATTGACATTGATAGGTGAACAGTCAGCCTCACAATCCTTAATTTTCCAGTTTGGTTGAGATTCTGTAGTTCTGTTTCCTTTTGACTGGGATTGATTTACAGCATTAAGGGTGAGAGAGAATCCTTTTTATTTTCTGTTTCCTTTTTAACTGGTTTGCACCACTCTGATCTAAAGAGGTTTTTTTTACCTGCATCACAGATAACTAAAATTTCTTTCCCTAACTATGATCTTCTTAGCATACTAATGCTTGAGCCCAGGATAATGTACATAAGAATGTTCAGTTCTACTAATCCATGACTGTAGAGTTGAAACAAGCTTCTTAACTCCTTTTTTGTTTCTTATTCCTGGAGGGTAAAACAGACATATCATCAAGAAGTGAGTTTCTGCTGAAGGTAAAAAATAGTCAGCCTGCCTCATTATCTCTTTGAATTCAGTCTCTCCTTGGTTGAAAATTCCCTGTAAATTACTTACGTAACATTCAGTTGGCTTTAGACGGGACTTGACCAGATGGTCACTGAACATAAATCCTCAATTTTTCAGTAGCAGTCTTTCCTGCAAAAACATTCTGAATTTAAAAGTTTAAAAAAAAACTTTTAAATACTTTGGGGCTCAGATCCATAGTCAATTGCAATCTATTTACAATTACTTAATATGAGACATTCCCAGGCAACAGCAAGAGAGAAAAGGTTTTGTTTGCATCGAAGAATTTAGGCTGGATTTGAATTTAGTTTTAGGAGTTACAGAACAATCTTTTGGATCAGATGATAATTGATATCTATAATATGATCAAAATCTTATGACATGTAGTTCTAGTCTCGCTGGTTCCGGAATGCCTTCTGTGGAATGTGATTCATCATGGTTAAGCAATACAGATTATAATGTTGAAAGCTGTTAACATTTCAGGCTAATATTAGATTGATATTCTGATTACCCTCCTGGAAACTTTATTTCCTTGTCAGTTTTTCTCTAAAGCAATTCACTAACATTTTTGGATGGTAAGTCAATGGAAGTATAGGTGGTCAATTGTCTGCAGATATGGGTGAACCAATAGACCATACAACTTTCAATTTATAGGGGCTAGATTTGTGGGATTCTAAACTCATAGCTAATTTCCCCAAACTTTTACCTCAGAGCTAAAACATTTGTGCATGCTACACATTATATGCAAATTAAAACTATGATGCACTGTGCACATGCTGGGTAGTAATTCTGTAGCAGTGGTGTTCTAAAGGTATAAAAGCAGTATTCCCCTTCTATCTATCCCATCTAAGTGTGGGACTGGAAGAGGTCAATATCAAGTCAGATATTGTCTTCGCCAAACCCAAGATAGACCACAGAATAAATGGTCTATGTGGCCTGACTCCAGCATTCAAAAGACTCTATTCAACTATAAGGACCATCTCTTCACTATATATCCCTAGGCATTTTGTACATCACATGTCCTTTTTTTGGCTGTTCTATATTTAAGCAGTAAATTATTGTTTGCAGAATACTTGATGAGACATATCAGTAGGAATAAAATGTTAATATGAGAAATGGTCACCAATAAGTGGTTTTGTGCTAAAGCAAGACTTGACTCAGGCTTTTATAAACTGAAAGTGATTCAGTAGGTTTAATCCTGAATTCTGATTTACTTTTGCTGGTGTGCAAAACAAAGTGGCTGAAGATGTAGGTACAAGGTTTTTAATTCAATAGTAGGTAAAATAACTTCACAGAGGCTGGTATCCTGTTACCAAGTCACCCTTTATTTACACGTGGAAAGTCCTTGATGCTGATCCAGCTCCCTCAGAGCCAGCTGTCAGAGTGAACAGAACCTCCGATACTCCTGTTTATATCTGTCAGCCAGGGCTCCCTGATTGGACCACGTTAATCTGGTCCAATCAGAGCACTCATATTATATGAGGTCCACCTGGCTGACCTCATCATAATTACTACAGTAGGTTCAGTAGCGAGCAGGAGAAATGTCAGCTCATTTGTTTGAGTTCAGCTGTGATGCCTGTTTTTACACAGGGTGTATGCGATAGAAACAAGGCACCATCAGGGCTGTGATGAAATACTTTCCATTTGCCTGGATGAGTTTGCAACAACAATCTTAAAAACTCAACACCACCCCTGACAAAGTAGTAGCAACTTTTTTGACACCTAACCTACCACCTTCAACATTCATTCCTCTCACCACAGATGCATGGTGCAGGAGAGTGTAACAGCCAGTGGATGCACTGCAACAACTCCTTCATCAGCAAATTCCAAACTTGTAGCCTCTACCACATAGAATGACAAGGCCAGCAGATGAGAACACATGGGAACAGGAAGTATTTACACCCGAAGGACTGCAATGGATTGAGAAAGCAGCCTACCACCATAATCTAAATGGCAATTAATGATGGGAAATAAATGCTGGCCCGGCCAGCGACACCCACTCCCGTATATGAATAATGAAAATCCATCAGCCTAACACTTACGTATCAGTGTTTATGTACCGTTCCAGACTCCTCCCATTTCTTCTCATCTAAATTAGCCATTATAACCATCAATTCCTTACCCCTCAGATTCTTGTCTAGCTCCCCCTTAACTGTGTCTGTACCACTTGCTTCCCCTCATCTAAATTCCCTTTTAGATTTATTGGAAATCGCCTCTAACTATGCTCTTTCACTCAAGAGGAACCGTTCTCTCTGTATCCACTCTAACAAAACCTTTCATAATTTTGAATGCCTCTATTAGGTCACCCCCTCCAGCTTCTTCAAGAGTGAGAAGTATACTGAAGCATTTGCAGTAAGATCTGTGATAAATTTTTTGCATCCTCTCCAGTGCCTCCATAAACTTTTTATAATATTGTGTAAGATTATAAGAAATGTGGCCTCACCAAAGTTTGCTACAGGTTTAGCACACCTTCCCTACTTCTCAATTTACCCGTTTATAAATAAAGCCTGGTGCTTGGTTGTTTTTTTAATAGCCCTGCTAATCTATGGCAGAACTTATAATGGTTTGTGTATTTGTGCTGTAAGATCCCTTTGTTCTTCTATTCCACCTAGACTTGCAGCTTCCAAGTTATGAGTGACTTCCTTATTCTTCCAACCAAAATGTACTATTTGTCATTTGTCTGCATTAAACTTTTATTTGCTGATTATTTGACTGTTCTGAGCGTTTTGTTAGTGTGCTGGTGTAATTTCTTGTGGTCCTCCTTGCCATTGACTGTAGTCTCCATTTAGAATAATCCACAAAAAGTATAAATTGTAATTTTGATTCCAAAATCTAACTCAATGCAAATTGTGAAAGCAGGGATCCAGCACTGATGTTGTGGAACACCACTTCCCATACTTGAAGCTAACGAGTTAAATAACGCCACAGAGGCTGATATCCCTTCACCCCAAGTCATCCTTTATTTCCACGTGGAGAGTCTTTGTCACTGATCCAACTTTCTCAGAGTCAGCTCTGAGTGAACAGCTTCTTGATTAGGCCTGGTCCAATCAGGGAACTCATTCTGAAGTCCACCTGGCTGAACTCATTACAGTCACTACAACTAATATCCATTCTGTGACCAGTTTCTTGATTCCACATTTGCAAAAGGCCCTTTGAATATCAAGGTAAATTGCATTACCAAAGTCTACACTCTCTATTACCACCTCGAAATAATAAGTAAGATTGATGAAGCAAGATTTTCCCTTTTGAAATCCATCCTGTATATCATTATTGTATCTCACATTTTTAGGTCTTCTAATCACACCTTCCTGGTAAGCTAACTTGTCTATAGTTCACAGGGTATGTCCTGAATCCCTCCTCCCCTTTGTAAATATAGGAATTACATTAGCTAACTGCCAGACCTCTCTTTGCTTTAACAAAATAGTAATTTGCGTAATATTGCCTCTCCTCCAGTTTATTCACAAATATGCAGATGTAATTCATCTGTGGGATCTCCTTGAATTATTGACATAGGACTTGTGTCCTATCATCACTGTAGAGTGTAATTAGTTATGGTTATTGTTGTCTAGATGTTTGTTTTGTTACTTCACTTAGTGTCTCTGGTTTAATTCCCATTACGAGATTGAATGCTGAATATTCCCTTTTTGACATAGTGAGGTAGAAAATGGTCTTGATTACATAAAAGGAATTCCATTCTGTGTTTCCCCTTTCAGCTCTAACTATGCCATGCTGAATAGGCTTCCAGTGTTCACTGTCTAGCCTCACATTTGAAGGAAGGTCACTTGGGCCTGGTTATAAAAGACTTCCAGACCCCTGCAAGCAAAACTCTCATCTTGAGAAGCAATCAACAGACAAGGATGGAGAAAGTAGAAGAGAAAGTAAAGTGTCCCCCTTATTTCAATGCTCATTGTTAATTTGTCAGGGAGAAGTGGAAAATGGTTGGATGTAAAGAGCAATGATTTTCTGATATAGCATCAAGACAACTGCAATATTCTTAATGATGAAATTCCGCATGTTGACCTGCCCATGTTTCCTGGGTGATCAAACACTGAGCCTACAAACATTGGGCTCTTAAAATCTGATACAGATTTCAGCAATCCAAAGTAAATCAATGGTTTTGTTTTATTGTCAGAGCTGTGTCGGAACATGTACAGTATAATTAAATCATAGGTGGTGTCCTTGATCACATACTGCTATACAATGCAGTGACTAGCTATTTACTCATTATTACAGAGATAACAAGGTGTAGAGCTGGATGAACACAACAGGCCAAGCAGCATCATAGG